GATAACATTTCTCAAGCAAAAGTAAACAAGGCCGAATAGGACGATAGTAGAAACGGTCAGATTAGTCAATTATCTTAATAATAATAATAGATTGGCGCTTACACATATGTTAGTGTTTGGCCGAGCTTCTCCTCCTTCGGCCGCTGTGGTGTAGTGGTAAGCAGTGCGCGCTTTCACTCATCACCACCTGGGTTCAAGCCCTGGTCAAAGCAACATCGCAAAAAATATAGAAAAAGGTTTTTTTCTTAACAGCGGTCGTCCCTCGGCAGGCAATGGCAAACCTCCTGCCATGAAAAAAAAAATTGTCAATTATCTTAATATTGGTTTTTTCCATAGGAAACGTGGTTAAATTGTTTTAAATTAATTAATAAAGAAATAATTAAAAAACGGCGAGATTTGTGAAAGTATTAGTGAATTTCAGTGCATTTAAAGTTTACTTTTACTTAAGAATTGTCAAAACTGGCAAAACCAATGGGAATGAATAAATATGAAAAATTGTTGAATTTACGCTCACACCGGGAGGCGGACATGGTAATTGGTATCCGATTTCAGTGAAATAAGATTTGTAGCTTAGATTAACCTAGGAAGACATAAATCTGAAAGTTGAGAAATATCGGTCAAACTGCCACGCCCACCAGTCATCCGAAATCTGGATTCGAATGTGGCAAGGATTAGTAACGATCCTCCAAAATAGCAAAAATTTGATGCAAGATCAATTTTTACATAAAAACCTTATCGTCTTTTTTATCGATATTTTCGAACTTATCGATATAATAATTGATATTTTTATCGATATATTTAATCGAATTTGTTATCGATTTTATTGTCGATATTTTTATCGGTTTTGTTATTGATATTTTTATCGATTTTGCTATCGATATTTTCGGAACTTATCGATTTTTTATCGATTTGGCTAGTCTGCGTTCAAACACGGAAACTCGAGTTTCTTATTATCGGCGATTTCTCTTTTGGTGTTGCCCTTTGCATTCACACACAGAAGCTTTTTTGTACGCAATTGTTGTTGTCAGCTGTGAATCGCCATCTTGGATTACTCAGACGAACGAGAGCACAAAGCATGTTTCCCGAGTACGGGCGACTCGGTACCCGTCCCCTTTCCTCGTCGCTCTCTCCCCAACAAGCTTCGAGTTTCTACAACAAATGTTTTCGTGTCTGAACGTCGACCTATCAATATTTTTATCGAATTTGTTATCGAATTTTTTTAGCGATTTTGTAGTCGATATTTTTATCGGTTTCGTTATCGATACACATGATATGACATCATATGATAGAACATCACATGATATGACCTCATTCATCACATAACATCTTATTACGTTATTGCGCCTCACATCATCATGTAGGTGAATATGTAGATGAAGAAAATTATAAAAGCAAAGATATAAACAAAGATGAAGACCAAAGCAAATTTAAATACTTTGCTTTTTGAAGAACTATAGTGTAAAGATAAAAATAAAGATAAAAGAGAACAGAACATAAATGTAATGTAGAACGATAAGGGTAAAGGTGAATTTTAGTTAAAACATTTTAGCCGTTTTTAGCTGCTTTTTTTGGCCAACATAGACGGTCGGCCCAAAAAGTTCTGGCAACACTGTCTGCATCAAAAATAAAATTTTGAAAAAAATTTCGCTTACGTCTTGTTTGTGGTAAGGGCTCGATATATATTCCTATTTATCGAATCGCTTCGACTGTCGTTCGCCGACAATCATCAGTATGGCAACACTGTTTCATTGAAAACAAATAAACAGCCAGTGTTGGCAACTTTTGATTTTCAAAAAGCACCAAAAACTTGGAAAAAGGCGTTTTACCATACTAAAAGCACCACATTGTTTTTAATCAAAGGATGTTTTTTTCATAACAGTTTGTATTTAACATAAGCAAAAAATTAACAATATTTACAAGAATATATACATAAATCAATACACAAAACGTTTTCGCTCATAACGATTGAATAGCCTCTACACATGCTATGATGACTCATGCTTACGACGTAATACCGAAGTACTATTAAAACTACTATATCTCGAGAAAGAAAAATCGAATCGCAACACACGAAAATAATGCCCTAAGTAGAAATGAGCAAAAGATTTTATGTTTACATTATATAACCTCAAATATCGCAAGAACCCGTGTTTTTGGTAATCTGGGGGTAGGATACCTAGTACTAGAGCAATTGTGCGGCCAGATTTGTATTCAGCACCAAGAAACGATGTGTTTTACTCAGGTGGTAAAAAAATCAAAATTTTTACAAACAATTAGAAAAGAAAAAAGAAATACTTAACTTACCTGCGTACTAGCATTTTCAACGCGACTAGAATTCAACAAGATGGGTTTGCAACTTCAGCTTTTTATCAATTATGGTCGTATTTTAGTGCACTTAAATTTGTATATTCTTGTAAATTCCGCATCTTCATGAGACACCGCAGCTTATAATATTTCAAAGTATTTCAGGTACCTCGGAGTAATATTAGTTCAAAAAAAGCATTAAAAAGGCAATAGGCACTAAGTAATTTTCAAAAAGCACTAAATCTAGTGCTTAAAGCACGAAGTTGGCAACTATGTAAACAGCTGATTGTCGCATTGTAGTCACGCAGCGCTATTTAGCTATTTTGTTTTCTGAAAATTAAATAAAAGCATAGTCTAACTACACATAATTTAGCAACTATGCTGCGGAAAAAAAATTCTAAAACAAAAACTGTATCTGATAAAATTTCAGAACTGGTGGCGCGCAATGCCAACGGAGAGGAAGACAGCAGCGACGAAATAGGCGAAGAACCACGTGTGGAGGAGGAATTTGATGAGTACGACCTGCCCGATGCACGCTCCTCAGATATCCGGAAACGAAATGTAAAGTTGTTATCAGAGCAAAGTGTGCGTTACCGGGGGAAAATATCAACACGTAATGAATTGGAGGAAGAACAGGATAGTGATTCGTTTGAAGGTGAAGAGCAGGAAGATGATGATGATTCCACAGAAGACGATGATGAAGGTGTGTTAAACGCATTCACGAAAAAATTAAGTGGGGCTGCTGATAAAGCGGTTAACAGAAATGAGGATGGTAGTGACGACGATTTGGAGCACAGCTCAACACAGTCAAATAGTGACAGTGAAGATAAGGGTTTAAGTGATGATGAGGATGATGAAGATGAAGATGAGGGAGATCAAGAAGGCGAGGATGGTGATGATGATGGCATCGAAAGTGAGGATGAGGCTAGTGAAGAGGAGAATGCGGATGGAACCCGTATAATCGCTGAAACAAACCGTCAAGCCGAGGTGCAAAAAGGGCAATGTGTGCAAAATCAACTACAAATTTGGGAACGTTTGCTTGAAATTCGTATTAACACACAAAAAGTGCTTAGTAAATGCAATCAGCTCCCGGCACCTAATGAACTTAAAACATTGCAGGATCAGAATGAAAAACTGGCAAATGTATCAAGTGAATCTGTGACCAGAGTCAGTAAGTTGCTTAGCACTTTATTGCAATTACAAAAGGCATGCAGTAAACAATTCTCGGAGCAACGCAATGCATTAAAAACAACTTTAAAGCGTTCAGTACCCATACAAAATGTAGATAATGATATCCCTATACCGCTAAAGCGTTTCGCTGATTACACCCACGCACATTTCGAAGAATTCAAACCCTACCGCAATGCGGTGTTGCTTAAATGGGATGATCGTACCAAATTGCTGACGCCGGGTGCTGGTGCCAAGAAGAAATCGCTAACAGAAGATTATGATATTATAAAGAAAATTGAAAATACTTTGCAGAGTCGCTCTATGCTTATAGAAAAATCGCGAACATTACAGAATGGCGCAAATGCTAAAACGCAAAATGATGGTGAGGAAAATGATGTTGTGGAAAATACGCAAAATATCAGAAGGAATACGGAGTCATATGACGACAGCGACTTCTACCATCAGCAACTGCGTGAGCTTATCGAGTACAAAACGAATGCATCAGTGAGCGCGAGCGAGGTCACGCAACAGTACATGGAGCTGCAAAAACTGCGACAAAAAATGAAGAAAAAGGTTGATACGCGGGCGAGTAAGGGGCGAAAGCTGCGGTAAGTGTTTAAAAAACAAATGGAAGATTTTATAATAAATATTATTTACATAATTCTTTCCAGTTATACGGTGCATAAGAAACTAATAAATTTTATGGCACCCGATGATACATCAACGTGGACAGAGGAATCGAAAGATGAATTGTATAGATCATTATTTGCAGCTTAAGTGTATTTACTATAATGAAGAAAGTTTTTAGATTAAATAAAATCTACTGTGTCCGTAAGAAGTTTTAGGTTTCATTTATATTTTCATTTATTGTTTAGTTCTTTTCCGTTATTTATTTAATAAACGTTCTTGATACGTCAAGTATGTACACATGCGCACAACTTAATTTTATACTTTATACATACATATCTGTGGCATTTCGATAAGCTGAAAATCGACATGTAAGAAAGTTTAAGTTCGGGCGGAGCCGAACATTAAATACCCGGCGCTAGTATTAAATATATGTTTTCCACCTTTCGGAAAGCTACCGCTACATGATAAGCCGGGATGTATAAATTTTAAGTAAATTAGCGTCTTTAAATTTCGAAGTATTGAAATTTACCGATATATGAAAAGCGGCCGTAATTTTAGTCCGATTTCAATAATTTTCAACGTTTTGCTTTTATGTGGCAAGCACAATAAAAATACCGTGTTTGGTATAAATTGGTAGAACGGTTACCGATATACATATATGTGATCATAAGTGGGCGGTGCCACGCCCATTTTCCAAAATTTTACCATAAACGTATTTCATTGTTGTTGTTGTAGCAGCAGTGCTCAACCCCCCAGATTTGTCATGTGTCGTCTTCATCCTCCGACTCTGTGAGCCTGAGGCCGAGAAAGCGGGCTGCGTCGATAGGCGCGGTCCAGAGCGCTTCTGGTGTCATGGTCGTAGGGTTGGAGGTGCACGTGAAGAGGTGCTGGGTGTCGTGGGGACCTTGCCCACATGCAGGGCATGTGTTTGCCACTTGTGTGTTCAGCCGAGAGAGGTAGCTGTTGAGTCGGTGACACCACCCAGAACGGAGTTGTGCTAGGGTGCACCTGGTCTCTCTCGGCAGCTCTATTTCTTCCGGATCTATGGGCGGCGGTCGACCGCCTAAGACGATGTTGTCATTACGCGTACTGAGGCTCGTTCTGACCGCATCGCTGTGTAGGCTGTTGAGCGCCGCTCTGTATGTTGCTGCGTCGAATGGATGGTCTACGTACGGCTCAATGTCCGCTTTCCAGTCGTGCAGGTGTCGTCTCACGTGTCGTGGGGGCGGTTCGTTACGAAGCAAGGCATTGTTGGGGTGATTCCCTCGGTGACAGCCTACGAGGTATTGCTTCGACAGCATGGTGTTGTGCTCTTTCACCGCCAGCATCTGGCTTTCTTCATGTAGGTGATGCTCGGACGACATGAGATGACAACCTGTAGCCGTACGTAGAGCTGCATTCTGGCAGGTTTGGAGGTTCCTCCATCGGGTGTCGCTTGTCCCCGCCGTCCACACTGGTGCCGCGTAGTTAGCCACTGACCGGCCGATTGCCTTGTAGGTCGCGAGCAATGTTTCTTTATTGGCTCCCCAGGTGCTGCCGGCTAGCGATTTTAGGACTTTGTTCCTGGCTCGCAGTTTGTTGCATGTGGCTGTGGCGTGCGCGGAGAAGGAGAAGAGGCTATCGAACGTCACTCCTAGGATTTTAGGGTGGTTGGTCGTCGGTATTTTGGCGCCATCGACGAAGACGTCCAGTTCTAGCCCCACCTCCTTGGTCCAGGTTGTAAAAAGTGTGGCGCTGGATTTTGCGGCGGAGATTTGGAGGTTCCTTGCGGTAAAGAAGTTGGAAAGATCGGTGAGATAGTCGGTTATTTGTTCGCAAAGTCTGTCTATGTTGGGGCCAGTTGCCATTATTGTGCAGTCATCGGCGTAGCTTACCAAGTTTACTCCTGCTGGCGGCGGAGGGAGTTTGGCCATGTAAAGATTAAACAGTGTCGGGGAGAGTACGCCGCCTTGGGGGGACCCCCTGTTTAATTCTACGCGGCTTAGACTTGGCGTTTCGGAATTCGACCGATGACTGACGACCACACAGATAGCTGGTTATCCACCGTTTCGTCCGAGCTGGAAGCGACGAGTCCAGGATGTCTTGGCAGAGGGTCGCGTGGTTCACCGTGTCGAAAGCCTTCGACAGGTCCACAGCGACTAGGACCGTCCTATCACAGGGTCGACGTTGGTTCAGACCCTCGCTAATCTGTGTGGTAATGGTGTTTAATGCTGTTGTCGTGCTGTGCATTTTCCGGAATCCATGTTGGTGTTCGGCTAGCTTCAGATGCTTCGTCAGGCTGGGGAGGAGTAGTGCTTCCATGGTTTTTGCCACTGGGGATAGGAGGGAGATGGGTCTGTACGAGTCTCCTGCGTCCGCCTTCTTCCCTGGCTTAAGGAGGGGAATGATCCTACCCATTTTCCACATCTCGGGGATGATCAGGGTGGACAGTGACAAGTTGAAAGCGGCGGTCATATACTCGACTCCCGCAGGTCCTAGCTTTTTCAGCATCTGCGTGGAAATTCCGTCTGGGCCTAACGCTTTCTATGACTTGGCGTGGTTGACAGCTGCCTGCGTCTCTTCAGTGGTGAAGCACAGTGGTGTGTCTCGGGGGCGGAGTTTGTGTGCTTTACGTAGCACGCTGCGGCGGGTTTTGTCTCTCTCTGGGTGTGCAATGAATTGCCGGCTGAAGAAGCGCGCGCACGACCGCGGATCCGACGTGGTAGTGGTGCCGAAGGTGAGTGCGACATTGTCTCTTCGCTTCGTCGGATTGGAGAGGGACTTGACTGTGGACCACAGTTTGCTGGCTCCGCTTGAGAGGTTGCAGGATTTTAAATGCTCATTCCATTTGTTCCGCTTGTGTTCGTTGACCAGGTTTCTAATGTCCCTATTGAGATCTCTTATACGGGGATCCCCTGGATTAGCCTGGCGGATTCGATCACGCTCGTCTGCGAGTCCCGCCGCTTCAGTGGGGAATCCTGGGCGGATTTTGGCGATCCGGCCGGCTGGTATGAAGCGAGCGGCTGCTGCGTTGATGATCCTGCGGATATTGCGCTCTGCTACGCGCGCGCATGATGGTAGAGGAAGAGCATTGAATTTGCGATCTGTGAATTCCGTGAAACCGTCCCAGTTCGCCTTCCGTGTGTTCATGAATGTCCGGTTCTCGGATGTCATAAAATCTCTTGGCTGGTCTATGGCGACTACTATGGGCAGGTGATCTGATGCGAGCGTGAGCACTGGTTGCCATCCAATGCAGTTTATCAGACCCCCGCTTGCTATAGTTATGTCTGGCGAGCTATAGCAGTCACCCGCGACCCTGGTGGGGGCATCATCATTCACAGTGCAGAACGTGGAGTCGTCAATTTGCTCAGCGAGCATTGTACCCCGCTGGTCATTGCCCAGATTGGAGTGCCAGAGCTCGTGGTGCGCTATGAAGTCGCCTAGCACTACCCGGTTCACACCCTCTAATAGCGCACTTATATTGGGGTGGTATCCAGTTGAGCAACTGGTGGCGGGGGGTATGTATACATTGACGATCTCCAGCTCCGTATCCCCCGACTTGATGGCCAAGCCTTGACATTCAATGAATGTATCGTTGGAGTCAGTTCGGGGGGTAATGAGCCGGTATTGAACCGCGTTATGCAATATGAAGGCAATGCCGCCTCCGGTGGCACGGGGGCGGTCTCTTCGGAGAACGTTGAACTCGTCCTGGCTCTGAAGGCTCGAGCCGGAGTGGAGTTTGGTCTCCTGGATCGCCGCGACTGAGATTTTATGCCTTCTCATGAAACCGACTATCTCAGCGATCTTACTTTGTAGTCCGTTGCAATTGAACTGCAACAGCTTGATGGATTGTGGCCTTATAATAGTTACGCGTGGGGTGAGCGAGTACTGGCGCGCTGCCTGTGCTGGTGGTTGTGCCTGCGGTGCCTGTGGAGCCTGACGTGCTGGTCCCCGACCGGGTGGGTTCGCCGCAGGTGTCGCGACCGGTGGTGGGGTTGGTGCTTGCGTCGGCGTGTGTGTTGTTGATGGCGTTGGCACGGGGTGTTGTGGTGCGGCTGGGCAGCAGGCTGCAATGAAGCCAGTACTCCATTCACGGTGGTGCGTTAGGCCTGAGCAGCGCTTTAGGTGGCACCAATTGTTGCATGCTTTGCACCTAACCGATGTTGTGTTGCGCCTTATCAGGTTGGTGCAAACGCTGCAGAACCATCTGTCCTGGGTGGATGTCCTGTGTTGCGTGCTTGTGGCTGGTCCACTGGTTGATGGTTGGGCGGGTGTTGGCTGTGTGGAGTTACAGGTTTGTTGGTTGTTGCAGCACGATGCAACAAAATTGTTACTCCACTCCCTGTGGTGCCGAAGACCTGAGCATGCCTTTAGATGGCACCAGGCGTTGCAGCGGTTGCAGCGGACAGAGGTTGAGGAGTGGTGTATGTTGCGGTGGCAAACACTACAGATCCAGGGCCCGGGATTTTGTTCTATGCCGGCGCGGACCAGTAGAATACGGAGCAGACTTGCCGGTGGGTCATGCTCCCATGGCATGGGGGGTTGCTGCTGTGGTGATGGTCCTTGGTCGGAGTGAGTTCTCCGAGTCAATCCGGTACGTAGAACCGACCATCTTGGGATTGAACGTATTTCATTCATTCAAAAAAAAAAAAAATAAATAAGAATATTATAAATTTTTGGAAAATGGGCGTAGCCACGCCCACTTATGGTTACATGTGTATATCTTGGCAACCGCTGCACCGATTTCATCCAAACTTGGCACAGTTGTTGGGATTGGTATAGCATAAC